AGATAAGCAGTGGAATCCTAGAAGAGATAAATATTTACCTTAGTATGAATCCAATCCCTAGTAAAAAAAAGGAGAATGTTAGGCATCTCGAAGAGCCAGTGAGATGAAGCAAGGGGAGCTAAAAGTGAAAGAATGTTTTGTTGAAGTTTTTAGAATAAAGTGATGGACAAAAATAGTAGCCGGAGAATAAGAAAAGAGTAAAATGAAGCATCATAAGCAAGATGTGATAAATGAGTGATAACAGCAAATTAAAATATAACAGGATAATAGAGTGTATAATCAAGTGAAAGAAAAAACAAGAGGTGAAAGGCCTTGAGGCAATAAAAGAGTATAAGCCATAAAGTCATATACCCATTTCGAGAAATGAGTTGGTGACTCCAACGTGAGTGCCAGAAGAAAAAGTTAGACCCCTAAAGTAATAATAATCAGTATGGGCTGGTGAACAAGATAAATTGAACATGAATTAGGGAACGAAGGATTTTGTAATAGTCGGCATCGTGAGAATTTTAGAAATAGCATTCCGACAATAATAGAATGGACAACAAAAGAATAACCCTTAAAGTTCATTCAGGAAGACGAATAGAATGTATGAGTCCACCAAACTGTATAGAGACATGGTCCTATACCAGTTCCCATAGAAATAGCTAATGAACAAGTAATTAAATGACACGAGAGATTTTTACGTGGAAAAATTCCTGCTCAAGGGGATAAAAAATCACGACCTACACTTGTAGGATTTCAACTTCATTACTGAGCAATATTTAGATTACAACCTAGGAATTAAACTCTTAATCCCTCACTAACTTGCAATACACCTATTACAAGCCACTTTGCAATACACCTATTACAAAGACTTCAACTCATGACTAACTCTAGTCATGACACAAGCACTAAGGGTTTATGGTTTTCCAAGGTTTCTAATTAAAGCTTCTAAATAAGCAAGGTAGGAATTACAATGAAGAACAAATACAAAGTTACAACTCAACTAAGGACATACAAAAGACTTGTTGTAGGAACTGGTCCATAGTAGTGTTGTACTTTGTTCTTGATGCACTTGTGACTTCAATACTTGATTATCAGATCTGGAGTACTTGAATCAATTCACAAAGTGTTCAAATGATGTTTTTTGTAATGCTTCTTGTTAATATCCTTTGAATGACATCACTTGGATGATGTAAACACTAGGTTGGTAAAAAGCCCTTCCCAATGGAAAGTGACTGCTGCATTGTTTCTGCACTGTAGCATGTACAGTGCAGGCAGTCACTTTCTAGCTGTAGAGTTGACTTCGTACTGCTGTCAGGGAAGCTCTAAGGGATCAGGTCCCTGAGTTGGTTCTTTTCTATCTGAAGTCATACAGCTCATATTAGCTTAAGTACATTGATGGATAAATATACCAAGTGTGCATCATGTCCTTTATCTGGTTCTTGACAATAAGTTTGTTAGATCATCAAAACATAAATCTAAGATACTTTAAACCCATCAATTTCCCCCTTTTTGATGATGACAAACTTTAAAAATTAACAACCATTTGTAGAGCACAATAAACCAGATAAAGTACCAGGAACTTCACAAGTTCCCCCTGACTCTATGCTTCGCCCCTTACTCAGATGCCCCTGCTTCAATTTATCTTCCCCCTTTTGGCATCATTAAAAATACACAAGCAAGTAGTAAGCATAAAGAAGTCTGGCCCAGCTAACTCATGCCACATGTGTGCACACAACATGATAAAAAAGAGAAGCAGAAAAAGACAAGCATTTAACAGCAAAAGAGAGTCTTCATTGAGTTTTATAAAACATAAGCCTTTGCCATTATAGCAAAGGCAAGTTTGGACTGTTGAAAGCGGGATCAGTACAGGTGAAATCCATCCACATCACAATAAAATACAAAAACAACTACCACAAGTCATCAAAATAAAAGATAGAAACTTGACACTGGTCACTGGAAGATTTTCTTAGGGGGAACTAGAGGAGGAAGGCTTGGAGGAGGCAACAAGAGTGTTGAGAACAAGGTCAATCCGAGCATTTGCGGACATTTGCTCTGCGAGTAGTTTCTCTCTCAGGTTCTCCACCTGTTGCCTGAGCTCAGCATTTTCTTTAGATAGACCAGCAACTTCTTCACTTGATGAACTGGAGGGTCTTGGTGCTGCTATAGCCTGACTAAGCTGAGTCTCAAGAATGGTGTTCCTTGCCTTCAGCTTCCTGATCTCCTCTGTGGCACTATTCTGGGCGTTGATTAGCTGTGAGATCGTCGAAGTGCTTCCCATTCCTCCAACCTTTTCAATACATTCACATTCCTCAAATGTAGTTTTAGAGAAGGTTTGTTTCCTGGTCCCCATCTTAGGATTTCCTAAGGGTACATCAAAGAACTTGAAGACACGCGTGAGAAGAAAGCCATACGGAAGTCCATGGTTTCCATCTTTGAAAGCTGTCACTTTCTGTATATGTTCAATCATAATGGCAGGCAAGTTGATAGAACGGAACTCATCTAGTGCTTCCATTAAGTATAGATCAGACCTGGAAGTAATGGACCTTCTTTCAGCATGAGGGAGCAGAACCTTGTTAACCAACTCGAACAATAGTAGGTACACAGGAAGCAGAGCCTTCTTGTGTATCCGTTCCCCATGCTGGACAGCTTTTTCTTTCATAATGACGCGCCTAAAATTAGAGCCACAAGCACCTCTCACAGATGACAACCCTTCAGATGGAACCTTGAGAATGTCCCCCAACACAGTAGCGTCCAATACCATATCCACTCCATTCACTAAAACACAGATGTGGTCATCTTCAACAGTGAAGAAGTCGGCATAGAAGCTTTTGACCTCATCCTCATTTACTTTGGCCACATCCTCTTTGAACAGATGGCCCCACTGCTGAAATTCCACCATCTCAAGGATTTGTCTCACACCCGCCATTTCAGAAATCTCAGGGTCAAAAGTGCGACCCCACTGTACCTTTTGATGTCTCAACCTTTCTTGCCCTAGTACACTTACACTTTTCACCTTTTTTACAGAACCGGGTTCCCCAACAGCTTCCAACTTCCTTTTGCCAGACCTGCCAATGGGCTTGCCCTTATCACTTGATTTTACCAAAATATCATCATTAGACATAGATTCTTCTTCCACAACTTGCTTAGACTTGACACTACCTTTCATAAACGTTTGACTTGGTTTTTCAACAACTCCCTTTGAAGCACTCTCAACAGATTGTTTCTTTTTCTGAGATCTCTCAACCAGGGAACTTGGTTCCTCCTGAGCATCCTCATCCACCTCTACTACTAGAATATTTTTGTCACACACAATTTCCCCTTCCTTCATCAGCCTCTTTTTCTTCTTCTTCTTCTTGGTACTCCTTCTGCTTTTCTTCAGGGCAAACTCAAAAGCCTCTTTCTATTGCAACCTTGTGGTAGGTCGCTTAGAAGGGGGCTCAAGAGTGACCACGGGCTTTCTAATCTTGAAGCGAGCACTGAGAACTACATCATCCTGAGCATCCTCATCACTAGATCTCACAACAGGAGGGATAGACTCCAACGGCTCAGCGTCAAAGTGAGGAGAAGGAGCAGGGTCAAAGATGACCTGGGAAGATGATTCCTGACCTATTTCCTCAGGGATAGGATCAGGTTCATCAACAGGGTTCCCAGTAGCTTTTTCAGGTGCAGGTGGTTCAAAGAGCACCATTGTTCCTTTTTCTCCTAAGAGCAGAGTCCCTTCCCTCTGAGACTCAGGCATGGTAGAAGGTCCTTCATCCACCAGTCCCTCAGCAGCAATGGCCAATATGTTTTCAGCGGCCTCTTTTCCTAATCTTCCATGGGAGAAATAGTGTCCAAGACTGGAGAACTTATGTACTGATCAATATCTTCCTCAAAACCCCCTTTTTCTTGTTGAGTTTCAGCCTCTTTTTCATCCTTTTTCTGGTTTTTGAGAGTATCATGCAATAGAGAAGAAACAGTGTTAACTTTTGAGGCTTCTGAGTCCTCAACACTTAACGAAAGAATAGGTTCAGATGGAGTGGTGATAGAGACAAGAGGTGAAAGGGAATCAGGTTTGGATATATCGGTGTCAGTAATGGTGGAAGAGGGGATTTTTGGTAGTGTTTCGAAGGTGGCAGATGAGTCGAAGATGTTACCTTCCAAGGTGGGTAGGGTAGCCTGCTCTTCAGCCATGGTAGATAGTTAGGTTGAATATTCTGAAAGGATGGAGAGAGAGGGGGGATAATCGCTCAAGGTTAGGAATGAAGGGGTTTTAAGGAGGGAAAGGATAATTATGAGGGAAGAGCGAAACGGGTTTTGAAACGGCAGTAGGTTTGTGGGAAGATGCACTGTTGCAGAAGGAAGTGAAAAGATTTGAAAGAAAAGATGTGATATACAAGGTCTGAAAAGGTGGATGATGTGGTAGTTAATTTTGTTTCTTTTGAGATACGCATGAGAAAAACACAAGACTACTAACATGTGGTACAAGAACTCCTGACCGGCCTTATTTAAAAAGATTTTCAACTCTCTTTTGTTACTCATGCATTGTTCCTTCAGTTTTTATAATCATCATGTGTGTCTGCCTGCAATGGTATAGAAGTGAGTTAAGCTTGGCCAGAAAATACTTTAGCTAGATTTACATGAATGTAATTTTCATAGCCATAGGGAAGGGAATCAGGTTCTCTATTTGGCTTGATTAACACCAGTGCCATCCTGTTTCTCTCAAAATGTTCCCTGCTTAGAGCTTTGGTGAAGATATCTACAATTTGGTCTTTTGTACTATAGAACTTCATTCAAATAAGCCCCTTCTCCATGTTGTCTCTGAGAAAATGATATCTCACATCAATGTGCTTGGTTTTCTTGTATTGGACCGGGTTCTTTGCCATGTTGAGTGCACTTGTATTGTCACATAACAGAGGTACACAGTCAGTGTATACCCAAAAATCCTCCAATTGTTGTTTGATCCACAAGAGTTGAGCACAGCAGGACGCTGCAGCAACATATTCTGCTTCGGCTGTTGAGAGAGCTACTGAATGTTACTTCCTTGTACCCCATGAAATCAGACAGGATCCTAGGAAATGAGCCATTCTAGATGTGCTCTTCTTGTACACAAGGTAACCTGCATAGTTAGCGTCAGCATAACCAACAAGACTAAAGTTGTCACCTAAAGGGTAATACAGAACCATGTCCCGTGTTCCCTTAAGATATCTCAGAATTCTTTTAGCAGCTTTTAGATGAGATTCCTTGGAATTTGATTAAAACCTTGCACATAAACCCACATTGAATACAATATCTAGCCTACTGGCAGTGAGGTAGAGGAGTGATCCAATAATGCCTCGATACATTATTTGATTTACAGGAGAGCCAGATTCATCCATGTCTAGCTTGGCGGCAGTGGCAATGGGGGTGTCAATCACATTTGATGCTTTTATATCAAACCTCTTCAAAAGTTCCTTGATATATTTCTGCTGACTAATACAAGTTCCCTTCGTGGACTGCTTCACTTGAAGACCCAAGAAAAAGTTCAGATCCCCCATCATGCTCATCTCAAACTCACTTCCCATGAGTTTTGCAAATTCCTCACAAAGTGAGTCAGCTGTCGCCCCAAAGATAATATCATTAACATATATCTGAACAATGAGCAGGTTCCTTCCTCGTTTCTTCAGAAACAGAGTGTTGTTAATTTTTTCTCTTGTAAAGCCATTTTCTAAGAGAAACCTTGACAACCTTTCATACCAAGCTCGAGGAGCCTGCTTCAAACCATACAGTGCCTTGTCCAATTTGAACACATATTCTGAATGTTTATGACATTCAAAACCTGGAGGTTGCTTAACATAGACTTCTTCCTTTAGAAAACCATTCAGAAATAAACTTTTGACATCCATTTAGAATAAGGTGAATTCCATATATGATACAAAGGCAATGAGAATTCTGATGGCTTACATATGAGAAAGTGGAGCGAAAGTCTCATCATAATCAATCCCTTCCTCCTGATTGTAACCTTGGACAACCAGCCTTGCCTTGTTCCTTGTAGTATTTCCATGCTCATCAAGCTTGTTCCTGAATACCCACCTGGTTCCTATGATGGTTCTATCTGAGGGTCTAGGTACCAGGTGCCATACTTTGTTCCTTTCAAATTGATGCAGCTCCTCCTGCATAGCTGCGATCCAGTCTGCATCCTTCAAGGCTTCCTTAATATTTTTGGGATCTATTTAGGAGAGGAAGGCTAAGAAGGCAAGTGAATTTCTGGCTTTTGATCTAGTTTGGACTCCAGAATCAAGGGGGGTTATTATATTATCGAGAGGATGAGAGCTTTTGTGTTTCCAATTTGGAACCTGAATCTCATTAGTGGAGGAACTAGGTAATCCTGAATGATTCTCTTGAATTCCTCTTTCTGCTGCATGTGGGGTACTTTGAACTGCATCAGCTACTCTTTCTTCAACTACAGTGGTTGTGATATATGTACCTTGTTCCTCTTGAGTTGGAGAGGAAGAGGTTGTATTGTCTTCATTTGCCTCCTTCATTTGACTCATCATATCTGCCTTTCCATTTGCCATGTCAGTGATCTCTCCTAGAACCAGCAGTGGCTCACTGTCTTGATCATCTTTGTTGCTCTTCTCACCAGATGGAAGTGTCTCGTTGAAGATTACATGAATACTTTCTTCCACACATTGAGTCCTTTTATTGTAAACCTTGTAAGCTTTGCTTTGAGAGAAATACCCTAGAAAAATTCCTTCATCACTTTTAGAGTCAAATTTTCCAAGCTAATCCTTTCCATTGTTGAGAACATAGCATTTGCACCCAAACGTTCTTAGTTGAGTCAGCTTGGGCTTCCTTCTATTGAGCAGTTCATAGGGAGTTTTGTTCAGTAAGGATCTGATCATGCACCTGTTCACCAAGTAGCAGGCTGTATTTATGGCTTCTGCCCAGAAGTTTTTGGCTATCCCACTATCAATAAGCATTGTTCTAGCCATATCTTCAAGGGTTCTGCTCTTCCTTTCTACAACTCCATTTTGCTATGGAGTTCTTGGAGCTGAGAAGTTGTGGGTGATGCCATTTTCACTACAGAATTCATCAAACTTGGCATTGTCAAATTCTGTTCCATGATCGGATTTGATGCAAGCCACTTTTGATTCCATCTTCACTTGGATTTTCTTGACAAAGGCTACAAACACTTTGAAGGTCTCATCCTTGGTTCTGAGAAACAGTGTCCAAGTGAATCTTGAGTAGTCATCTACTATCACAAAAATATATCTTTTTCCTCCTCTGCTTGGCACTCTCATAGGGCCACATAGATCCATATGAAGGAGTTCAAGTGGCTTTGATGTGCTGACATCCTTCTTTGGCTTGAATAAGGATTTCACATGCTTTCCTCTAGCGCATGCATCACACACTCTATGCTCCTTGAATTTTCAATTTGGCAATCCACGAACCAGGTCCTTCTGTATCAGCTTGTTCAGAAGAGAGAAGCTTGCATGTCCCAGCTTCTGTGCCATAACTCTACATCATCATCAACTGCTTTCAATCAGCTCATATCACCACTTTGTAGGGACTCGAAATCAGCAACGTAGATGTTCTTGTATCTTTTGGCATCTAGTACCAATTCACCAGTTACCAGATTAGTAACTGTGCACACCTCTAACAAGAACTCCACCTTATTTCCTTTATCACAGATTTGAAAAACACTCAAGAGACTATACTTCAAACCATTTACATAGTACACGTTCTCAATTGAGTGTGAGAGAGACTTTTCAACTTTTCCAACACCAAGAATGTACCCCTTTTTCCCATTTACAAAGGATACATTCCCTCTTTGCAGGGCTTTTAGTGAAAGGAAGTCCATGGTATTCCCAGTCATATGCTTAGAGCATCCACTGTCCATGATCCATTGTTGACTGCTTCCTTTCACTGTTCCCTCATCATTGTCATCATCTTCATCATCGTCTGACTGAGCCATCAAAGCAAATATTGAGTCATATTCATTTGCTTCATTTTCAACTGCCATCATGGAATTATCACCTGCATCATTTTCTTCTTCTGATTCACTGGAGGAGTCTCCCCATGCTACAAGAGCTTGCTTCACAACATTGTCAGATGCGTTTTTTTCTTTTGAAGCGTTTGCCAGGAATCGGGTTCCTCTTGGCTGCTTTATCAGAGTTGTGCTTGAAATGTTCTTGCTTCAGAAAAGGACAGTCCTTGATGAAATGCCCTGGCTTTCTACTCTTATGACAGAGGTCATAATTCTTTGGTTTGCTGGAACTACCTCTCTTTGGTATGCCTCCATTCCTTCGAACTATTTTATGAAACCTTCTGTTAAGGTATGCCATATCGCTATCCTCCTCACTCGAATCATTGTTCTCAGCTTTGAGTACCAGGTTCTTCTCCTTCTTTGGTTCTCTTTTTTCACTGTCCTTCTTTCTCTTTATCTCATAGGTCTTTAGATTTCTAACCAGCTCATCCATAGTCAGTATTTGCAGATCCTTGGCTTCAGTAATGGCATTCACTTTGCTCTCCCAGGAGCTGGGCAGAACGCTAAGAATTTTCCTCACAAGCTTGTTCCTTGGGATTATTTCACCAAGCGAGTGTAACTCATTTATGATAGATATGAATCGTGTGTGCATATCTTGAATAGATTCATCATTCTAAAAAGGTCATACTCAGTGGTAAGCATGTCAATCTTTGACTGCTTTACTTGAGTGGTTCCTTCATGTGCTGTTTGTAAAGCTTCCCATATCTCTTTAGCGGATTGACAGGCTGAGATCCTATTGTATTCATCAGGTCCTATGCCACACACAAAAATATTCTTGGCGCGAAAGTTTTTCTCCACTGCTTTCCTGTCTGCGTCGTTGTATTCTTTCCTATTTTTTGGCATTGTTATAGCAAAGTCTCTGAGCTTCTTTGTTGAGACATATGGACCATTACAAATAACATCCCACAACTCAAAATCTCCTGTCATTATAAAGTCATGCATTCTAGTTTTCCACCAGCCATAGTATTGGCAGTTGAATCTCGGGGGTCTATAGGTTGATTGTCCTTCCTCTAAGTTTGGTGGAGCATCCATGATGAGGATCCTTTCTAGGTGTTAACCTTTAAGAAAGAACCCGCTCTGATACCAATTGATAGAATGTATGGGTCCACCAAACTGTATAGAGACATGGTCATATACCAGTTCCCACAGAAATAGCTAATGAACCAGTAAGTAAATGGCACGAGAGATGTTTACGTGGAAAAATCTCTGCTCAAGGGGATAAAAAACCACGACCTACACTAGTAGGATTTCAACTTCACTACTGAAAAATCTTTAGATTACAACCTATTGCAACCTAGGAATTAAACTCTTAATCCTTCACTAACATGCAATACACCTATTACAAGCCACTTTGCAATACACCTATTACAAAGACTTCAACTCATGACTAACTCTAGTCATGACACAAACACTAAGGGTTTATGGTTTTCCAAGGTTCCTAATTAAAGCTTCTAAATAAGCAAGGTAGGAATTACAATGAAGAACAAATATAAAGTTACAACTCAACTAAGGACATACAAAAGACTTGTTATAGGAACTGGTTCGTAGTAGTGTTGTACTTTGTTCTTGATGCACTTGTGACTTTAATACTTGATTATCAGATCTGGAGTACTTGGATAAATTCACAAAGTGTTCAAATGATATTTTTTTGTAATGCTTCTTATTAATATCCTTTGAATGACATCACTTGGATGATGTAAACACTTGGTTGGTAAAAATCCCTTCCCAATGGGAAGTGACTGTTGCACTGTTTCTGCATTGTAGTATGTACAGTGCAGGTAGTCACTTTCTAGCTGTAGAGTTGACTTCGTACTGCTGTCAGGGAAGCTCCAAGGGATCAGGTCCCTGAGTTGGTTCTTTTCTATCTGAAGTCATACAGCTCACATTAGCTTAATTCCATTGATGGATAAATATACCAAGTGTGCATCAGGTCCTTTATCTGGTTCTTGACAATAAGTTTGTTAGATCATCAAAACATAAATCTAAGATACTTTAAACCCATCAATTTCTCCCTTTTTGATGATGACAAACTTTAAAAATTGACAACTATTTGGGAAGACGCTTCCCAAAAGCAAGCACAGTGAGCAGAGTTAAGCTTAAGGGACTAAGTGTGCCAGTTGCACTAAGTGTCACCCTTGTGCGTAAGAAATTCAATTATCCCCGGTATAGAAGGGTTACCGCAAGGAATGTAAGATGTCACTAAAGATGTGGAAAAAAAATGCCAAAGATGAAGAGGTAACTATGGAATAGTAAAGGAAGAATGCGGTAAAAAAGTGAAAGGAATGAGATTGCATATATTCAGATCCTACAGATATGATATGACTCCAAAACATTATGCAAGCATGACGCCGGGGAGAAGCAGTAAGGGTTCCGCACCCGATGATATTGATAAATAAGTGAGAATGAACACTTGATACATAAGGAGCCCGTACGAGAGGTAAGTTAAGAAAAAGGACAAAACCCAAGAGGGGTTACGCAGAATGTAGCTATGAGAATGGACCAACGAGT